CGCAATGTGGGAATAACAGTGAAATTTATTTCGATTTATTTTATATATTTTTTTAAATGTTTACTTGGATATTTCATACAGTTGTCAGATTACCTGAAAATGTTCAAGCACTGTTAATCTGTCTTAGTTCTACATTTTATTACTGACTGTTAACTTGCTTTAAATAAGGAGATTTTGAAGCTATATTTATTCAGTGGAGAAATACTAGGCTACATTGCACTGCTTTAATTTCACTGAATTTAATTATGTTTAATTAATTGTTAATATTTAGTTAATATTCAAATTTTAACATATTGAAATACCACAGCAGTCAGGAATTTGAAAAAATATCGGTATTGAACGCATTTAATAAAAATGCAACCCAGGCTCATTGGAAATAAGAACTTGGGGCAACATTTCTGCAACAGCATTATTAATCCGTTTCGCAGCAGTTTCAAAGTGAAATTTGTGAGTGAGCGGCGCTAAAATGCATGTGACAATATGTTCAATACGTGTTCAATACGTGACCATGGCCACATTTTTATTATGTTGGTACAGGCATGTATTGCTGCGTTTTTATTATGTTGATTCAGGTATGTATTGCGGTGGTTCAGAATTCAAATGATGTTGGAAAATTACATACCTCATCAAAACCCAACCCTAAACCTACCCGATAGTGTTAACGAATGCAAAAGTGATATGAAAATGCATTCGCTGATGCAACCATGCTAGTTTAACTTCCTTATACGGGGGTTTGAGCGGTTTTGTCGAACTGTAGTTCCACAGGATTCGTACCGGAGCTCTGCACCTCACAAGTGCAACGTCGTATCACGTGAGATACCGAGCAAACCTACTAGATTAGAAAACCCATACATAGGAAGCTATATATGTGATGACACTAGCAATTGTGGGCCCTATGAAAGAAAATGAGGTTGGCCCCCACCGCACCAAACATACAAGACAACCTAGTTATCCAAAATCTTTGTCTGCAATTTACTAATACTGACCTATTGCTTTTGACCACCAGGTATCAGTATTTAGTCAGAGACCTACCCATAGCCGCGGGAACATATTTTATCTGGGGGTGCTGGGGGGCATAAATGAATAAAATCCTCATATTAAACAGCCCAAACACTTATAGATGAACATACAAATGAATGAAGACAGAGTTATATGAGAACGAATATATTTGTGAGTTTGTGATTTTAGCTCAATAATATTTTTTTCTTTAATATTTGTATTATTTTAAGGGAATTTTACTAAATATTAACCTTTAAATTATGCATTTATCATCTGCAATATCAGGGTGTAACCTCTAGATGTCTGTATAGCCCTATATATAAATACATATAAACTGTTTGATGCAGAGTGAGAACTTAAGACATAAAGCCCGTTACTTGTATCAGGTTATTCACTGATATATTTTCAGACATTATTAAAGACTACATTTAGTAAAAGTTGAAATTTAAATGTTGATTTGAAGTGTCAGTTATTATTATTGTAGTCAAATCTGGATAGAGAAAGCATTTTGTTAGGCTACTCATACTAGTTACAGCGTGATCAGTCAAAGTCATCAGAATAAATATTGGCTCAGTGTGACCAGGACAATATTTAAAAAAAATAGAATTGAGTGTTTACATACCATGAACAGAGACGTTCTGTGGTCGAGATGTGTATCCTATTTGAAAAAAATCTGCATTGCAATCAGCAACTAAATTGAGATTCCAGTAGCTTTACTGGCATGGAAAAAAAAGGCTTTACAAAGCATTGACAGCACTTTGAACCAATGGTGTTGAGCATTATCAAATTTAAAGGCCACAATTCATATTTTTCAGTCACGTGACTAAACATCCATAGAATTGCAGCACAAGCCTGTCAATTTTCCATTTCTTTCCAGTCCACAAATATTTAGATCTTTTGACTTACACTTCTTCGTCGAATTCGCAGACATCTCTAATTTGACAGTTTACCATCTGATCTCACTCAGTGACTCTAGTCTACGTAGGACGGGATGGAACCATGCAATGAATGGGGGGGGGGGTTGTGCGGGGGTCCTTAATTGCCCCCTAGCGGCTCCCCTGTTCAAAAGTATCAGTTTTCAGATTTCACAGCATGTTAAAATTGTTTTGAAGTCAAAAATAATATTTTGCAATTGTGCAAAAATAAGGCTTTCTTAATCAAAACTCTGGCCATGTAAATCATAATTTGTGTGAAAAAGAATAAATGTTGTCGGAGATTTACTGCCTCTAGTGTTCATTTCAACTGGAAACTGCAGCAATTTGTACGTATAGGTATGTTTTTTTTAGTTTTGCTGAAATGTAGCTAGAGGCACGTATTTCAAATGAGCCTAGGTAGCCAAAATGCATACAACGCCACAATAATTTTTTTTTCTGATTTATCTTGACTTTTGTTTATGGGCATGCTCTACATTCGGCATCTCTGTTGGATCTTTTACATAAAACAAACAGTACTTTGAACAACACAAAGCATATTATACAATGCTAAAATTAACCTGTGTAATTCACTCCCTTGCTGCCTGCAAAGGAATCTTTTCCATCTTATCATTTCAGCAGGTGTAGCTTTACTGCATTTGATGAGTTCACATGTAGCTCTTTTGTACTTGCCTGGATACCAGCTCCTTCGGTAACAATGATTTTCCACACACAGTTCAAGCTGTTCCCATAAGGCTCCGGGAACCCGGGGGAGAGGATGGTACCTCTCCTTTCTGTCAGATTCCCGCTGCATGGGACTGTGGAGCAAAACAGAGGCAAAATTAGCTCATGCTAAGGATGGAACAACACAAGTGCCTGAACTGAGTCCTGTGAGAAAGGCAGCATACTCCTTTGACACAAGATGAGATTACGCTCGAGGTAGCATGAACCAAAGCCATGATAACCCTGCTTAAACATACATTCTCTGCATGAGAAATGTCTTTCAAGGAACACTTTATATTTCCCAAGAAACAATCTTATGTCTGCCTTTGTAAAGCCTTATTTTTCTAGCTGTAGATAATATTCTAAATTATTCATAAGTTAACATGATCGACAGTCAAAACTGACCTTTTTTTTAATGCATGCTCCTGGTCTTACTTTGAACAATTCAAAGGTACATGTTACACACACACACACACACACACACACACACACACATGTTTCCATGTTTTATGGGGACTTGCCATACCTAGAATGATTTTTATACTGCACAAACTGAATTTTCTATCCACTAACCCTACCCCTCACACAAAACTACTGACATTTTTAGATTTTCATTTTGTATGATGTATAAGCTGTATAAACCCAAAAAATTGTCCCCACAATGTAAAAAAAAAAACTGGTATTATTATCCTTGGGGGGACATTTGGTCCCCATAATGTAATGTAGAGAATACCAGGCACACAAACACACACACACACACACACACACACACACACACACATTGGGTTTTCATGTTTTATGGGGTCATTCCATACACATAATGATTGTTATAATGTACAAACTGTATTTTCTATCACCTTACCCTAACCCTACCCCTCACAAAACTTTCTGCATTTTTTGATTTTCAAAAAAACTTCATTCTGTATGATTTATAAGCTTGTTTCCTCATGGGGACCAAAAAATGTCCCCACAAGGTCAAGATTTACTGGTAATACTATACTTGTGGGGACATTGACATGGGGAATACCAGGTACACACACACACACATACACCCAATCCCCTCTGGTTTCTGAACATCACATTTTGAAGAAGGAGAAATATGAGAGGTTTGTTCAAGGCATTCCACTTCTGAATACTTAAAAAATGTAAGGAACCACAAAATGGGATTTACTGAAGCTCTGTGAAATCAAAACTGACCTTTTAATGCACTTTCCTGGAGTGATTCCTTTTCAGATGACGTTATTCCTGTTTTTTACTGCTCTCCTCCAACCACCTAACACATTCTGTTATGTGATTTTCTCATTGAACATCTTTTTTTTTCACTCTGAACTAAATTAATATGCCAGATTACAAATTATAGAAGCAAAATGGCTTGGGCAAACTATTTCATGTGGCCTGGGATGTTATAAAGTATGCCATGCATGTTAACCTCTTTCTATTCATGGGTGTTTAAAAATTGCAATTAATCCATTTCATGAAAGTATATGTTTTTTTTTAAACAATCTGATTTTTGTAGAAGGTTCTTAAAAGCATGAAAAAGACTATATATTTCTTATCTGATGCCTGTGGTATCCCATTTTAAGGATTTGAGATTGTGCACATTCCATTAGTGTTGTCATTCCTGCAGCTCCAGAGCAATTAGTTACATGACATTAATGGCTCAAGCTCTCTGGTATTATGGACTGACCTCTTTGCATAGAGAAAATTGGTTCCAAATGGCGTTTCATGTTGACTTTAATACATGGATGAAAGGGATGAATGAGGAATGTTGCAATTAACAAGCTAAATACATTTAATTTCTATTAATATTTAATAGATATCTACCTCTCAGTTTGTAATTCCTATGAAAAACGGGGAAGTGAGATTTGAAAGCAGACTGAAATGAGGACGTGCCTTGGGAGTGATAAATTCGTAACAGCACTATAGAATATGGCGACAGCTAAATGCTCAGTATTAAAGCCTGGAGGTTACGGCTTTGAACTGAAGGCTGTGGCCCAGAGGCCCTTGGATTCAGCTCTCAGCCCCTTGAGGATGGCAGTATAGAAGGAAATATTAACTAGAGGCCTGACATTTTAAATCCTCATAGAGGTCACTGCCATTTCATCCTCCAGCAGGATTTTTAACCCTTATTAGTTAGCTCAAGGCTAGTGGAGACCAGAGAAACTCGCACATTTACATTCTCTAAGGACTTGAGAAAATACAGGGCTATAAATCAACATTTGAATGATGGTACCTGTTAGCAAGCATATAAAAGTCAAATGGAATTTGTACTGTCTATGTTGCTTTATTTCTACACACTGAATTGTTTAGTCCTGAATAAAACATGACTAGTGTGCATTTTTCTTCAATAAATCCAGGTTAGCTTACCTATACAATTTGGGATGGTGTCATTCCACTGCGCCAGAGCGTTAGGGACTATGTGACACTTGATGGCTTTGGATCCCTGGAGGAGGTATCCAGGGTTGCACTCGAAACGAACAATGGAGCCAGCTGAGAATTCGGACCCAATCCGCCTGCCGTATCTGGGCTCTGGGATGGAGCTGCACTGTGTATCGCTGGTGCGTGGAACAGCTAGTGGACAGGAAACAGATCTCTAATCAAAATGGACCAGATGGATGCTTGGAAACACACCGGCTCGGTTTCAAAACCTAGTAAGTTGCCTTGACATTGTTACAAAACAAGGCAGACACATGCTGTTCTTTTGAACTTTCTCTTCAGCAAGGAATCCTGAAAAAAAATGTAACAAGGTTTCCACAGAAATATTGCTAACACTTTACAATAAGGTTCCATTTTTTTTTTTACATTAGTTAATTACATTAGATAACGTGAACTAACAATGAAAAATTGAATGAATTTAAAGAGAAGTAAGACTTTAGTTTAGGGACCAATTCTCACTGTTAACTAGTCGCTTATAATTAACTAGTCACATGCATATTACTAGCATATTGGCAGTTTATTAGTACTTATAAAGCACATATTAATGCCTTTGTCTGCATACCTAAACTTAACAACTACCTTACTAACTATTAATAAGCAGCAGATAAGGAGTTTATTGAGGCAAAAGTCATAATTAATAGTTAGTTAATAGTAAGAATTGGTCCCCAAACGAAAGTGTGACCAAAGGATACATAGACAAATAATTAATGTTCCTAACACACAACTCACAGAAAACTCGACTCATTATTGGATACCAGTTTTCCATTACTATGTTGCTAAAATAATGTCCATTTCTACTTTTGATAGTTTAAAAACAAATGGAAATGTTTGTATCTATACTTTTCAGTTTTGCATGAATCAAAAGCAACAGTTTTGTATTTATAATTGCACATATGTAGCTTTTGACACACAGATAACCACATTTGTAACCTATTGTATGTTCACCAGTGCAGCGGTGTACACTGTGACTACTTTAGCACTCTTTTTATAGAAAACCCACATATATATATATTTATCTAGCACACCTGTATAAGCATCTTCGTGACCCTAACACAGAGAACTTTGCTGGTTTTGCTGTTTTTCTTGCAAACATCGTAGCAACTTGGTTGGTTTTTTTTCTGTTTGTGCCTTAACTTTCATCTGATGGCTGTGAATATATAGGAAGAGGCTGGTGGGACCATCCACCATCACCTGGATGCCTCCATGAGCCAAATTAACTGTCCTAACTGTCAAAGAACATTTCTCATACACCCGCTGTTCTCTCTGCGCCCAGTGCTGTACACTATAAAACGACGAGGAGAGATATAAAGAGACATAGCAGGCTTGCCGCGGTCTGCGCTGTGAGTGTGTGCGCACGCTGATGCGGCCGTGAAATATTTCTATTGTATCTTTTTATAAGGCAGCTGATAAAGGGAGTTAAAAAGCGTACTGTAATTTATACACTAATTTATGACGTCTTTTAAAACGAGGGAAAATGCCTTGCATGTCCTGCGGTGCACTGCTGCTGTCTGGGGAGTCTGACACGTCAGGGGTGAATCATTTAAAGGAACAGTTCACCCAAAACTAATTTACTCACCCCAATGAGCAATACATTTGTTAAAGTATTTATTAATCTTTGTGGTATCACTTTAGAATAGGGAACACTTATTCATTATTAACTGCGATTTTTCCATCAGTAAACTGCTAATTTGCTGCTTATTAATAGTTAGTAGGTAGTTGTTAGGTTTAGGTATTCGGTAGGATTAGGGATGTAGAATAAGGTCATGTAGAATAAGGCATTAATATGTGCTTAATTAGTACTAATAAATGGCTAATATTCTAGTAATGTGCATGCTAATAAGCAAGTAGTTAAGATACCCTAAAATAAAGTGTTACCATCTTGGTTAACATTAGTTAATAAAAATACAGCTGTTCATTGTTAGTGCATGTTAGCTTAGGTCCATTGACTAGCATTAATAGATACAACTTTTTTTAACATTTTAATAATGTATATGATGTAATAATAAACTAAGATTAATAAATGCTTTAGAAGTATTTGTCATTGTTAGTTAATGGAATATTTAATTGGGTGTAATACTTAGTTTTACCAATTCTCCAATTCAATAGGGACCAATTCTCACTATGAACTAGTTGCTTATTAGCATGCATATTACTAGCATATTGACTGTTTATTATTACTTACAAAACACATATTAATGCCTTATTCTGCATGACCATATTTTAGATCCCTTAATCCTACTCCATACGGAAACTTACCAACTACCTTACGTTAGTAATAGTTATATTGATTTTCAGTTGATTTTGATTGCTTCCATTTTCCTCATTTGTAAGTCGCTTTGGATAAAAGCGTCTGCTAAATGACTAAATGTAAATGTAAACTATTAATAAGCAGCAAATGAGGAGTTTATTGATGTAAAAGTCATATTAATAGTTAGTTAGAGACCTTTTTGTAGTTAGTAATAGTGAGGATTGGTACCCAAACTAAAGTGTGACCATATGGAATATATACACTGAAATACTAAAACCAAAGTGGCAAATAAAAGGATGGGGAGAGGGGAAAAAAAATACTGAGAATGAGAATAGCGCAGAAATCATTCTCCCATTCGTCTTTACTCAGAGCTAAATGCTTTACAAATTATATCAAATTGAAGCCTCTTCCTCATTTGACTCTATTGTGTATTGGTTATGACATTGTGATTGCGGCTGTTAACTTCTCTGTGTGAAATATAAAGGCTATTTCCCTCAGTAAGCGGGCTCAGGCATACTGATCAGCAGGCCACGCCAGCGCTTCAGAGGCGTGATTTCACCCTATACACGTTGCCAATATATTCACAACGCAAACACAAAGGCTAGAATGTTTCGGATTTGAAGATTAAAAACAAAGCCTTGGCTCTGCACAAGGACCTGTTATTGACTGAAAGTTGAGTGCTCGCTTACCTTGGTAAACAAAATGAAAACCTTTGGCGGACGGGCCACTTTTTGCGCTGAATCTCAGCATGATTTGGTTTGAGATAGCCAAGGGCAAGGTTTCTCCTGCAAAAACACAATAGGGCAGATGTTAAAGTCTCTTAGAGTTGCTTGTGGAGGCGAATGTGCCGCAACAAACTAGTCTTAAGGTAGCGTAGATGACAGATGGCTTAATAACTCGAATCAGCCTCCGGGGCAAGGGTGGAGAGAGCAGGTCAGCAACAATGGGCCTAAAACTAATGGATATCCAAAGAAATACTCAAGCTGTCTGCATCATGTTCAAAGATGCAGCGGGTAAATTAAAAAAAGAAAATAAAAAAATCCCCAACCTAAAGGATGACTGACTTACCCTTGAGCTAAACTTTGAGCGTTCAGATCCAAAATCAAAGCATTGTAGCGTCTGGACCAATCAGACACACCATTTTTCATTTGAGGTGTATGTTAGACTAGTTTAAGTGTTTATGTAGTTAATAAACTCTTACTTGTATCACACCTGAGGTTGTTCATTGTTTGCTCATAATCGTAGTCCCTAATCATGCAGATTTCTGCTACATGCTAGTACATGAGTAGTATTGTACAGTAAGAAAGTTATTTCCCTTAACCAGGAAATTAACATTCTTAGAATTGACAGACAGTTGACCCTGGAGGTCAAGTAAATACTTACAGCGGATCTAAATATTTATAATTAATTATAACTAGTTATGATTAATTATTCATATTTCCCCTTTGAGCTGATTTGCTACAGCATACTTTTACAAAGTTGTATGTATCCAAAGGAAGAAACAGAGTGCTGATATAGATGGCGCCTGAAACACTACAGTTGAGCCTTGAGGGTTAAACACTCTAACTATGAATTGAGTGGCCTGTCAGGATTTCTAGCCCACTGCTCACAAAGCTGAGATAGAAATTATATGAATTTACAGCGCTTCCCATGGGAATATAGTATTGCACAGCAGACCATGAAGATATACAGTATAAAAATGCCACACAAACTGTTTGTGTCCAATGGCTGCAATCAATCCTGCAAAGACTGAGGAATTAGCAGTGATTTTCGTTTTCTTGGCATTTTATTACCTTTCACTCAATAATACCGACAATAATTCAGCAGGAAGCTGCAATGATGACATTTTCTCTTTAGAAGGAATTAAACAAGTCTGGAACCAATGGGCGAAAATGACAACATGGATCGCAAAAAAAATATTTGGACACTTAAACCACACTTAAAAATGTATGAATGCCATGAATAATAATAAATAACATTAATAATAATAATAATAATAATAGTAATAAATAAAACAAATAAAAATAAAAAAATCAAACCAAGCAGCATTCATTTTAAAGATAGCACAAACTTACTTTTCAAGGTTTGTTAGGTTTGAAAATATAAATTAATAATAATAATAATAATAATACTTTTCAGAATGATGGGGGGGGGGGTGGACACTGGTTGTCAGACGTTAATGGTTCACGTTGATAGTTATGGTGATTCTATTCTCATTCATGGTTTCATTATCAGTATTATTTAATATATTTTATAGAGCATTTTATCGGACAAGAATTTAGACCGTTTTTTTTTTTTTTGGAAGAAAAATATTGCTACCTAGAATATACTGCAGATGACCCCAAAGCCATTGGAGACATGGCTAAAACACATTTCATTCGGTCTTTCAGGTTGACGTACTTGTCCAAAAATGTATTAGTGTTTTTTTATGATTTTATGAAAATATTACTTGCAAACGAAGATTTAATTTGCCTGAGGCTGAGTGAGTGTGTGTTCAGTGTCTACGAAAACGAATACAAAACTATTAGCAAACACTTGCCAAAAATGACACTCCTGTCTCTCCCCCTCTGAAAGGAGCCATTAAACTTCACTTGAGACCTCCTTCACTGCTCAGTTGTCTGCACAATGGTCTTTTTACAGATTTGAAAAGCCATACATGCCTGTTTGCTTCTTTTCAAAGGGTTCTGTGCATTTCAAAGCAAACTCAAAGCAACAAAACTGGTGTGAATGTAAAGCTATTACTTACCGGAATGAGACCCAGCCAGGGAGCTTAGCAGCCTAGAATTCTGATTGGGCCCATCAAATAGCTCAACGGAGTCATTCATGGCTGTCTGGAAATAGGCAAATTGCCCAAACACCACTAAGGAAACAAAATGAAACGCACTGAGCGTGTTACTATCACCACTGCTGGGAAGAGACGCTAACAAAAGAAGTACAATGAATGAAGACATAAATTCACATAAATTTCCCATCGACATGCTTGCTTCAGGTCGATGGTTTTATAAGTGTCCATAATATGCAGTCTGCACAGAAGTATGTATAACCTAGTCACATCAAAATGGCATTTGACATTAAATTCATTATAATAGAAGATTTTGATTACAGAAATCATGCCGTGAAATTGTGAATAAAATGTGCGTACTGTAAACCCATACCACAGAACTCCACTTTTAGTGTTGCAGCAGCTCTGTTCTGAAAACAATGACCTGTGTGGGAATTAAGTTCGAGAGCTTGTGATTCTCAAACAAATGACTGAGCTGGTTCTTTTTAATGAAACGGACCAAATGACTCACAAATCAAACTTATGTTGATTTATCACAAACACATTGGGAATTAAGTCAGTGTATTTACTGACCTTGTTGTTCATGTAAGCATATATAGCTAAAGATTCAGCTCAAACTTTCATAGTAATAATAATTTTTGTTTTCCTTTCTCACTGTTACTATAGTGTTATTATCATTGTACTCTTAATACCTCAAAATCATGAACCTCTCTCTGTAATGTATGCATTATGTGTATGTTTGGTCTCGTCTGGTGTCCATTCCCTCTGACCTGAGACCAGTGATTAAGCTGTGATTAAACGCGTTGGCTTGCCAGAAAGGACACATGGTTCACGCGGTAGGGCATGAGAGACCAGGGAAATCACAGAGGCATGCTGTGCATGTCAGGTGCTGGTGTGAGAGCCAGCTAAGCAGAGAGGGGTGGAAAGGGGTCACCCGGGCCACTGCGACGACTCTATTATCTCTTCTGTAATGAGATGTCGGCCCTCGCTTCATACTCAAACAGCACAGAAAACCTGAAGGGTTGCTACTAGTGGCTCTGCAAATATCAGTTTGACTGGATTTCTGTCAGCTCACAAACACTTCAACAAACTTCAAATGTTAAAGCTTTACTTACACTCCTATTTGCTATGCATGAACTGCAAGGATTTGCAATGGATTTAGTAAACTGTGGTTTTGTGCAGTTGTGGATATAAAGTATGGCCAAAATATATATTTCTGTCAGAACCACTATCGTCAAAGTCGATTGACAATTAGCATACAGTTTGGATTGGCGGTATGGTTCTGTTCTGGGCAAGAACTCCCTGTGCATCCATGCAGCGTAGCATGGAAAAGAGCAGGGAGAGCAGCGATAATCCCCCAAGAGTAAACAGAGCAGAACCAACATATAAGTATTGCAGATATCGTTCAAGTTCAATGATTTAATGTAACATTTTAGAAATTAGTCTGATTCAAAGGGGAATCAGAAGGCCGAATCTTGACTGGACGACAGGAGGAGCTGGGGATGGAGGAGGGTAATTAGCTATTGAGCAATGCGAAAGCTGCTAATAATACTGAAGGACAACAGCATATATGTATGCTGTGGTAGGTGTCGTATAGGTAGACGTGAATCAGCTGAGAGTCAGCTGATGCAAGCTTGACTAATGCGACCAGCCAGAACTAACAGGACATGTTAACAGGATTTTGGATAACGTTTGCTAACGTGGTTCTGTTTTATGAATAACCAAGTTAACATGTTGCTGAGTAAAAAATACAATATAGTATAGTAATATAGCTATCCAAGTTGAGCTTACGTGCTAAAAAATCAATTAGCTTAGCTAATGGATCATCCAAAATTGCAGGTGTTAGCGAACTACATCTGTGTTGAAAATGATTGCCTATAACTATACTTTTTCATATTACCTTAATATAGGCAGACATTTAATGTAAATTACTATGTGAGTTTCCTGAGTTTATGCTCTTTGCTTTATTATTAATTCAATGTAATTAATTATGGATTCAAAATGGGTGAGCATGTTGTTTTGGCAGGAAGAGCTTCACATCGGTTTATATCTACAGACTGAAGACTCACCACTTGAATGAAATGGATTATTCGAGGTAACTGAGTTATACTTATACAACATACTGATTAACTTTCCAGTACTATATTTGTGATGGCAATGTTACCTCATCTAACTCTAATGTTCTTTTGCAAACGAGAACAAAGTGAGGACAGAAAATTGAAAGATATCAGTTGTTATATCCTTACATATGTTTTATCTGTTAATAAATTGTTAATTAATTTACAATGCAGACATTGAATGCAAATATTTTTATGCAATATGATTGGCAGTTTTATGTTCAGATATATTTTTTAAAACACATTGTGAGTATTTATGCTTCACAAAATGAATTGTAGTGGGGGGGGGACTTCAAGTAAACATTATGCAGGAATTAAAAATATAATTGTTAGCATTGCAACTATCGTATTTTCAAATGGTTAATTACAATTTACTAGTGATTTCTGAGTGAACAGCTTTTTGGCCGTTTTTTTTTTTTTTTTTTTTTTAGCTTTTTAAGTACATCCCGCTCCAATAACTCTATAAACTGAACTGTGACCTTTGTAAGTAACTTTATTTACTTACCAAATTCTCCAGACACTGTGATGTAGTAGGAGCAGGTCTGGCCTGTCGTGTAGTTGAGAGGGTAATTTGGGGATAATACCACTCCCTCTGATCCAGTGTACTGCCCACCGCATGGTGCTGAAACGAGAGAAACAACCCTAAAGGCTCATATTCACTCTTGTTCAGTCCATATGACACAAGCTAATGAGGTCATTTTAGTATACGTGATGACCAGTGAGGCTAACGGAGCTCTCCACATTTCAAAAGACAGAAAACAGGAAAGTACAATCAAAGTCATTTTTTTTTCCATTATGATTGGTCAGATCTAAAAAATGTACTTTGCCTTTTGTGCTTTCATGATTCAATTTGTCACAGACTCTGTTTCATGTCCACATTCTATGTGCTAAAGGTACATTCTAATCCCTCGATAGTGCACTTCGAAGTCAATATTTGGCCAATATAATTTAATTCCAAATCGTAAATAGAGATGAAGTGTGCATAGTTATAGCAATTCACAAGAAGTGAACAGGGGGATTCAGCAATTGCATACTACCATAGTACCACACAAAGTTTGGCTAAAATAAACTATGATGAATCCATTTATATTAATTGGAATATATAATAGTATGTATTTTTATATAAACACACCTAGATGCATACATACATATATGTACATATATACATTTATATGAAAGTATGGTCAATTAAATATTTATACAAAGCTTGGCTAAAATAAATTAATGTAAACTAATACATTAATACTGAAAATTAAAAGTCACATTAAATTTAATATTACATATCAAACACATGTATCACTAAATGTAGGGGTTTATGTATTTTTATATAAAAATACATTTTTATATAAACACACCTGTATGTATTATATAAATTTATAATGAAGTATCGTCATTTATAATATTTTTATTTACATGATCATGTCATTATATTTGAAACTCCTAATCTGCATGACTCAATTGTTGCCTGTGTTTGATGACGTTGTAGGGCCTTACAGATGAATGAATTTTGTCAAGCAAAATGAGCTTCAACAGATATTCCCTGCTGAGTGTGTAGGGAGCAAAAATCATGAGTGCAAGGCAAACCTTATTTAAAAAGAAGGCAGTGTTTGAATAACAGATGAGTGGAGTAATTACCAGAGGAAATTAAAAAAAAAAAGAAAGAAGAGAAAAAAACAGTTTTGACTGACACACTTTGAAACACTGCTGTTTTAAACAATAAGTCACTGCACATCAAACATAATTCACAAAGACAGACGTAGCTCTCCCTAATAACAACTCAACAGTAATCACAATTCAGGCCCAGTGGGTGTAGGTATTGTGTGGACTCGTGCAAGCTAATAACACCAGATCATTCCATCCAGCAGCAAGTTGTTCACTTAACTCCTAAACATTTATTGGAACAAGAAAGTCAATAACAAGGTATTGGAAAATGTACATACCTTTATACAAGCAGGGTTAATTTGCTTAGGCTTGACATTGATTGCAAAAACCAGCTTTATTGTAGCACTGCTAGAATGGCCTACAATTGACACATCATGCACACTGCGTGGAAAGACTATTGGAATTGCTATGGGCAATTAGGGTTAGTGATGTTAGTTAGTTAGGGTCAGTTAGTTATCCCTGTGATGCGCATTTTTTATGGCCACATCTGCATAGCCTCTGACAGTTATTTTAGTAAAACTGATTCGTAATTCAGGTCTGAGCACAAAGAGGGAGTATTGAGGAGGAGCAGCCAATGAAGACTATAAATCATCTGTGTGTTGGTGCATTGGCGTGTGTTATCTCTTTATCAGGCTGGGTAGAGGCTAAACACTTAGGTGTTTGACTGTGCGTGACAGGAAAAACAAGCGAAAATCAACCACAAAGGTCACCAAGAGGAAAAGTGTAACAATTTGAGGCTAAGAAGGTCAGCGAAGAGTATTTGTGCATATATTAATCAATGTCAGTGCTCCTGTCACACCTGGTCTATATCGTAGATGACCTTGTAACCGATGGACCACCCGTGATAAGCAATGTTGGGGAACTCTACTTTTAGAAGTTATTGTAAGAAATCAGCCCATAATTTGGCATTTAGAGATAACTGTGGTCGATAACAGTGCTTGCTTGGCTGATTAACAGAAGTGCTACCCACCCCCGTATCGGTTCCAAAAGAGCAAAAGTTAATTTTTTTGTTTGTTTTTTTTTTTAGACAAAATGTGTACAATAAGAGTTTATATCAGCAAGTGTTAATGTTACGTATGTCATTTTATCATTGATTTGCAAGAGGTCATGGATTTGTTGAGCTGTGCAGAGGGCGTAGTATCCATGCAATCCTGCTCATTTTATTACATTGTTAATTTCAGCCACCTTCATTTTAATGTAAGAGCAGACATGGCCATTTTTACTATAAAGGTGCAAGGCTTCCGGTGTCAGACGTTTATATATATATATATATATATATATATATATAAACAATAATGTAACTGTAAAAATAGTTGCCTGCTGAAATTGAAATGTACATACATCTTCATCATGACTATATAGACACGGTGAGTTTGTCTTTACTATACACGTTAGATGTGATCCACCTCATAGTAACAATCCTGTCAGATCGTCCATCCTTTGAGTGAGAGTGTAACGTTACAGGTCGGCCGATCTGGTTTCGTGGTTGAAGTTAACCTTTTCCACATGTTTCCATGTTGTTGTTGCTCAGCAATGGCATGGACGCAATGTTGTCTGGGGGTTTGACAAAAGGAGAGTGGGACGGCCTTTGAGTGAGAGTGTAACGTTACAGGTCGGCCGATCTGGTTTCGTGGTTGAAGTTAACCTTTTCCACATGTTTCCATGTTGTTGTTGCTCAGCAATGGCATGGACGCAATGTTGTCTGGGGGTTTGACAAAAGGAGAGTGGGACGGTGGGCGGTGCTCGGGGTGGTGACTGAAGGCGGTGACTGTGTAGTTCTGACATCAACTTTTTACGGAAGTCACAATGGTTAGTGAAAAATCACAGCTACTTTATGCAGGCTGTGTGCATTTTACTGTGGACTGACTGTTTTGAAACTTATATGGTAGTTAAATAGCCCCTAGACCTCAGTTATCTGAAAAAAAGCCAGGAAATTTCAGATTTGACAATATGGGACCTTTAACTAATTATCTTGTTTTACTTTGAGTGTGAATTATCATATGCAGTAAAAGACAACAACACTCAAGCACTTTAAAAGGTTTTTTCACAAACTCAACTGACTGGCTTCTCTCCTGTATTATGATTTCATGTGAGTCTCTTCAGACCTTAGAACTGTACATGAATTATGAGCTTCTAGAACGTTTGACCTCCTAACTGAACTCCTTTTCACAAATTGAACAGAAATAAAAACATTATAAATAACAAAAAATAAACAACAGTTATTTCTTAGTCTTATTAAGTGCAAACGATAAGTGCAGCCATAATCAAAGTATACTCTCTCAATATTCAAAGTGCAAATAGAGAACAAATTTTTCAAACATGATACAGAGCTATAGAAAACTACACAACCTGTTATAGCCTACAGACTAATAACAGCATAGATATTGTATGTAGTAGTTGTAATTTGGCACGTGAGGGAGTCGCTTTCAAAACGCGGAGTATTAAAATCGCTTGAATGCGCTTGCGCGTTTTACTTTCGGTTTCGATTTAACGATCGCTCGAACTCTCGGCAGTGCAGTGCGTGCATTCTACAATACAAGACATTAATTTTGTCAGATGCTCTGCAATGATTCCTCCTTTAATGTTTCTTATGGGCCAATGAGGGTCTTTTTTTTGTTCGCGCTGAAGTAAATTTAAAATAATAAAAAAATATTCTGGCCAATCAACGCTAGGCTGTAGCCGCACCTGGCTATTCTGTCATAAATCGCACACCATTCATTGCTGAACTTTCTACCGTCCGTTACTGGAAATGAAATTAAATTACTGGTTGATATGTCCCGATCTCAATAAAAGTTTACACATGCTTTTGGTCCGTGAATTAGATCTCGCTCGGGACGTGCGCTGTCTGTGGAGGTTTTGCCAGGACCGGTTCCAGAATTAAATCAACATATTTTATGTTCCGTCCATTGCTAATCACTGCTATTTCGAGAGTGAATCCCGCATAAATATGCAGATGTCATTACCGAAACTTTGCAGGGTGTAGCCTACGTGTCCGAAAAACGAAAGTTTCATACAAATTCTGAATGGACTATACCCTAGAAAGTGCGCAAAGCGCGCTCCCTTTATCACTAAAAAGCATCACTCATCTTCGTTCATCGCGATCTTACAAAGTTTCGTTATAATCAATGAAGCTCTCTAAACTGCACAATGAATCTCTTATTTACATCGCGTCTGCATTTAGTTATGAGATGATTCACGAGCGTGCAAAACTGCACTTAAAAACTGCGGAGCTTTCAGCGGTGAGTGAATTCTGACAAAATGTTTCTGATTGGCCATTGCGTTCAAGAAATCAACAGATATGTCTGTGATTGGTTACATTGCTCAACGCTGCCAAAACACATTGAGGGTATTTAGCGCTTGGCTAAGCGCTCCAATTGCAGCAGGGCAACATCAGGGATTCAATGGCTAACAATTTGGGGGGGCAATTGCCCCCCCCCCTTGCCCCTTGCATGTTAAAATAATAATAATAAACAAAAAAAAGAATTGGCAGGTCCTCTTCATTTTTAAATATGTAACATTTGTTTAACACATAAACTGATTGTTTAACACTGTAAACTGATGTCCATGTTTTCTAACAGTGTTACAACCAACCCCAATTTCTGTTGTTCTGTCACACACACACACACACACACACACACATTCTACTACCTTCTTTTTCAGAAATTCTCATTTTGTGTTCTTTAAAAAAAATGCCCGTTTGGAGCAAGTTATGAAATTATTTTTATTTAATCTTTTAAAATATGACATTTGAACAACTGGTCACAATTTAGTTTGGGAACCAATTCTAACTGTTAACTATTAACAATGACTTTTGCCTAAAAAAACCTTCTAATTTGCTGCTTATTAATAGTTAAAGGTAGTTGTTAAGTTTGAGCATGGGTCGTGTTAAAGGGGACATCGGATACCCATTTTCCACAAGTTGGTATGATTCTTTAGGGTCTTCATGAAATGTCTGCAACA